AAAATTTCAGCATTTATTTGAAATAGAAATCTTTTGAAGCATTATAAATGTCTTTACTGACACTTTTGATTATTTTTAGGTATCCTTACTCAATAAAATTATGAAAGTAATTAATACTTTTGAACAGTAGTGTACATGTATTACCTTGTCTAAAATTCTTAACTCTTCGTCTAGTGTGCAATGTGACTTACCTGAATGTCCTGACCAAATTATTTATGTCATTGATTACATCACTCATCGTTAGACGCAGGGTTCCCACAGCATCTCTCAAGCTTTGAAAAGACACAAAGAGGGGGCAGACTTTTAAATGAGATGTTTATTAACTGATAAGTACTTACATCAAAAAATAAAACAAATAAAATAAAAACAAATAAAAAAATTAATAAAAAACACACAACACTTTTGCTACTATTGAGGTGGGATATGGTTAAGGTTAGGGACAGGTTTGGTGGTATGGTTAGGTTTAGCTTAGGTTTAAGTGTGGGTCAAGGTAGAGGTAGGATCAACAGTGTAATTACAGATTAATTACATATGTAACTACTGGGATGTATTTTTAAATATAGGTACAAATATAAGAACGTGTGTACACAATAAGTGCATTGTATCAAATATTAATTTAAATGTAACTACATAGTACAAAGATACTTGAAATATAGTTTGTTCCAAGGAGGTTACGATTTGCAAGAAGACTATGAGTACTAGGTACTTTGATTTTCTTTCCAGCACATCTTAGAACAGTAACACAGGGCACCCTTTATACAGATTTCAAGCATGTCAAATGCATAAGATAACATTATTATAGTGCGAGCAAAACATTGTTAATGGTGTCTGAAACGACAAACACTGATCCAACCATTGCTGAACACTGACCTCTGGCTGAGCTTCTCCACAGCAATGCGTTTCTGAATCAGATGCTGTGCATGAGAATCAACCAAGGGCAGAGGAGGGTCCTTCCCACTGTCCTGCAGGACCATGAAAAAAAAAAAGTGTCAATCAAGAATGTAACATGCAGAAATCAATGAGAGATGCTGCCAGTTATCGTGAGGAACCTCAGTCTAACAAGCTTGAATTGAGCACCGGACAGTCCAAGTAACTGCAGGTTCAGACTTCAATATGCACATACTTGTATGTTAAAGCTACACTTTCCCAACCAAAAAAATAAAATAAAAATTTAAGTCATTTAAAGTCAAATTTTCTTTAAAAAATTAAGTCATTAAAGTCATAAAGTTCAAAACATATTTGTGGCTGTCAAACATTAGCAGCTCAGGTTCATAGTAGGGTTATTAAAACTAAAACCATTAAAACAAAGTAAATGTTAACTGAAATAAAATGTAAAATATTAATAAATATTATAATAGTATATAAATAATACTAAAACAAGAATTCACACATCCACTAAAAAAAACACTTTGAAACCATTTGGTAAAAATCACTGCAAAAAATATCTCAAGTTAGTTTTTTAGAAAAAAAAATATCATCAATGCAAGTGTAAGTCTTTAAGTGTAACTTTAAGGTGAGACAGGCAAATCATTCAGTTCCCACCTGTGTGTCTTGAGTGTTTTTGATGGCATCTGTCTTGACCTCTTCAGGTAGAACATACGTTCCTTTATAAAACTCTCTCACTCTCAGCTCCAGCAACTCTGTCTCCTTCTGAAGTGTTTCAAAATCAGGAGCTGAAGCACTGGGTCTGGAAGAACTTCCACTGTTCTGTCTCAAGCTCACTTCCACCTCAGCCTCATCCAGGTCATCTTCATCCAGTTCCTCCACTTCCTGTGCAGAAACCTCTGTTCCAGAGGCATAATCAGGCCCATAAAGAAACTTCATGGTTTCCTCAGTTCTCCACTCCATAAAAGTTTGTCGTAGATGCTCTAGCAGGCACAAACTGATGGTTGTAGGAGTTGTTTTAGCTTTGTTATGGTCCTTCAACAAGCCTTTGAGGCCTGCAGCTCCTCTCTTACTCATGCTCACCTGAGTGATGTTCAGACCACTAGTGGGAGGGGTGGAGTTTCCAATCTCAGACTGTGAAGGAAGGTTAGTTTCCTGTTGGGTTGCAGTGTCCTTCAGACTACACTGATTCAAAAGCTCCAGAGTTCCTTCAACATCAGATCCAGCAGATGTGGTTTTATTTGGTATAGACAGACAGGCAGTTGGGTCCGTCTGTGGTTGAGGAGTTTTTGAAGATCCACTTTCATCATTATTTTCTCCATCGAGTGTTTGTGTTGGTCCAGGATGTGCATATCGCTCATTTTCAGCACTCAACCTGTCCTCACTCACTCCGTCCCTCTTTGGCAGTTTTCCCCAGTGTACCCTCGTGTGTTTATGCTGTCTGGACACCACACTGGAGACAAAGTCTTGCTCAGTGTCACTGTTGTCGCTCTGGTTGAAGGGAGGGGAGTCCTTGTGAGATTCAGGAACGTCTGGGACAGGATTCTCAATGTCAGTTTCTGTCACAGGCTTGTCTACCAACTTTATTTCCTGTCCAGAGCTGCCTCTGTAGACAGATGAAAATACATTGTGAGTCAGTTCATACAAATATAATCTACTAATTTCTTTAGAAATGTTATATCACTGCAAAAGATCTTCTACTAAACCATGAGATTTCTCTATGACAAACAAAACCGCTTGTACATACCCCTCTCCTTCGTTCATCAGCTTAACTTCTGGAGGCCTTTTATAAAAAATAATGTAATTTTTTTTTTTAGAAATAAAATGCTGAACATTGTTACATGAAATAAAAAATATGACAAAAATGCTAAAAATCTTATTGCTGAATCCACTACTGCTCAAAAATGTGGTGTCTAAGTTATTCTTTTTTTTTTTTTTTTTGAAAGAAATGAATACATTTATTCTGTAAGGACATATTAAATTAATAATAAAGACATGTGCAATGTTATAAAAGGTTTATATTTCAAGCAAAGGTTATTCAGGTTATACATAATAAGAAGAAATTATTCTTGAGTACCAAATCAGCATATTAATACAATATTTGTATTATTATGCTGTACTTCTGATCAAAATAAATGCAGTCTTGGTCAGTATAAGAGACTTCTTTCAAAAACATAAAAAAACTTTCAGAATCCAAACTTTTGAACAGTAGAAGAAATGTAATACAATTTGTTATTATATAAAATAGATATGTGATTAATAATAAATATTTTTATTAATAAATTACACATTCACCTAATTATAATTAAGTTTAAGTAACACAGTTAAGTAATTGATTGAAAGATGCACTACCTCTCCTCCTTTCTAAGCCAAAGTGGTGTTTTTGATATCTGGAGCTCAAAACATTTGGAGGCTTTGTAGCAGAAATTACTGCAAAAACACTGAAAAATTAAACAAAAGAAAATGATGAACTTGTCTGCTTAATCTACTATTAGTTATTAAAAGAGAAATTAAAACAAAGCAAGGAATAAAATCATACCTTGCGCTCTGTAATATCATAGACTCTGTTCGTTTTGGTGGATATTTTAAACTGTTGAGTGGGTATCTGAAATGTAATAAACTCTTATGAGACAGTCAGAAACATAACTGATAATGCAAATTAAAAACGAGGGAAAGAAGTGATGTTTACTGTGTAATCCCTAAAAGGTTCTTACGTTAGTTAGTTTATTTGGACACCTAGGATATCCACACAGTTTAGCAATGCACCTTTCTTCCACTGTGTCTTTGTAGTTGGCAGGAGTGATGTGCCATGCCTATAGATAACAGTACATTCTCTTTGAAGCACAACAAACAACCGTTTAAATCTCCAGCTGAACTGTATAGAGGCCAATTACAGTACGTTATGTGACTTACACAGTCGATGAGGAACTCCTCTGTCACACTGTCCTCCAGCAGCCGCTCAACTACCTGCAGGGCTTTGCGCTCCAAATCTAGCTTCTGTCTGAGCGCCACTTTAATAGCTTCCCTCCTGCAAACATTACACTCCATGTAACCTGTATCACTTTAATAACGATATCAACTTATCATATAAAGTGTTACTCAAAAACAGTCCAACTAAAGTAAACAAACATACTTTCTCGCCTCATCCGCTGCTGAAATCACCTGGGTTCCTTTGCCCCCTAAAATTCAGGACAAATATTCTGTTAAAATATAAAAACAAAAACTTCGAGGAAAAATTCCATATACTACCTTTCTTCTTTGATTTCGAGGCTCGAATCTTTCCTGTCGCGTCCATCTTTTTCTTCTTCTTCTTTGGTGTTTTATTGGCGGTTGGCAAACCAGCTTATAGGTGCATTACCGCCACAGACTGGACTGGAGTGTGGATCAAGATTTATCTGTCGCGTCCATGCTTGTTTTCTCACAACAAAACTCCTTCCGGTTACGTCACATCACTACGGCAAGCAGCCAGCGACACGCTTCATTCTGCTGCAGTTTCTAAACATGCGGAGCTACATATTGAAAGTATAGCTGCAAGTGAGCGCGCTTTTGCAATTTGTATCTTGTTAAGTAGACGTATATCTCATTAACAAAATAAATCAGCAGCCATGCCTATACAAAGCTACGCGAAAGCATAATCTTATTGTAGAGCTTATTTTGAACACGCCAGTCGTATAGAGATTTTTAAGTTATTCTTTTTTTTTTTTTTTTTGAAAGAAATGAATACATTTATTCTGTAAGGACATATTAAATTAATAATAAAGACATGTGCAATGTTATAAAAGGTTTATATTTCAAGCAAAGGTTATTCAGGTTATACATAATAAGAAGAAATTATTCTTGAGTACCAAATCAGCATATTAATACAATATTTGTATTATTATGCTGTACTTCTGATCAAAATAAATGCAGTCTTGGTCAGTATAAGAGACTTCTTTCAAAAACATAAAAAAACTTTCAGAATCCAAACTTTTGAACAGTAGAAGAAATGTAATACAATTTGTTATTATATAAAATAGATATGTGATTAATAATAAATATTTTTATTAATAAATTACACATTCACCTAATTATAATTAAGTTTAAGTAACACAGTTAAGTAATTGATTGAAAGATGCACTACCTCTCCTCCTTTCTAAGCCAAAGTGGTGTTTTTGATATCTGGAGCTCAAAACATTTGGAGGCTTTGTAGCAGAAATTACTGCAAAAACACTGAAAAATTAAACAAAAGAAAATGATGAACTTGTCTGCTTAATCTACTATTAGTTATTAAAAGAGAAATTAAAACAAAGCAAGGAATAAAATCATACCTTGCGCTCTGTAATATCATAGACTCTGTTCGTTTTGGTGGATATTTTAAACTGTTGAGTGGGTATCTGAAATGTAATAAACTCTTATGAGACAGTCAGAAACATAACTGATAATGCAAATTAAAAACGAGGGAAAGAAGTGATGTTTACTGTGTAATCCCTAAAAGGTTCTTACGTTAGTTAGTTTATTTGGACACCTAGGATATCCACACAGTTTAGCAATGCACCTTTCTTCCACTGTGTCTTTGTAGTTGGCAGGAGTGATGTGCCATGCCTATAGATAACAGTACATTCTCTTTGAAGCACAACAAACAACCGTTTAAATCTCCAGCTGAACTGTATAGAGGCCAATTACAGTACGTTATGTGACTTACACAGTCGATGAGGAACTCCTCTGTCACACTGTCCTCCAGCAGCCGCTCAACTACCTGCAGGGCTTTGCGCTCCAAATCTAGCTTCTGTCTGAGCGCCACTTTAATAGCTTCCCTCCTGCAAACATTACACTCCATGTAACCTGTATCACTTTAATAACGATATCAACTTATCATATAAAGTGTTACTCAAAAACAGTCCAACTAAAGTAAACAAACATACTTTCTCGCCTCATCCGCTGCTGAAATCACCTGGGTTCCTTTGCCCCCTAAAATTCAGGACAAATATTCTGTTAAAATATAAAAACAAAAACTTCGAGGAAAAATTCCATATACTACCTTTCTTCTTTGATTTCGAGGCTCGAATCTTTCCTGTCGCGTCCATCTTTTTCTTCTTCTTCTTTGGTGTTTTATTGGCGGTTGGCAAACCAGCTTATAGGTGCATTACCGCCACAGACTGGACTGGAGTGTGGATCAAGATTTATCTGTCGCGTCCATGCTTGTTTTCTCACAACAAAACTCCTTCCGGTTACGTCACATCACTACGGCAAGCAGCCAGCGACACGCTTCATTCTGCTGCAGTTTCTAAACATGCGGAGCTACATATTGAAAGTATAGCTGTAAGTGAGCGCGCTTTTGCAATTTGTATCTTGTTAAGTAGACGTATATCTCATTAACAAAATAAATCAGCAGCCATGCCTATACAAAGCTACGCGAAAGCATAATCTTATTGTAGAGCTTATTTTGAACACGCCAGTCGTATAGAGATTTTAGCTATCTTACTAATGACTGCAATAACCAATTTTACATCAATACAGACTCTGTGAGGAAGACTGAGGTGTATTTATGAATCTTTTTTATTATATGGATATTTTCTCTAATATGTGTGTCTGCTGTGTTTGTTAATGATAGCTGGACAGTGTGTGACAGTGAGCTGCTCTTTATAAAGATGTCATGATTGATCATGACGTCAGTGCACTCTTGTCTTCGCACCTCATTATTCTGTTGTTATCAATTATATAATTTCTTTATACAGAAAGCCTTGATAACAGAAGACGTTTCTGGCCACCAAGATGGCTCTAGAACTGCTCTGTGATGTGGTCCAGAGATGTGTAAGTGTAGCTATGTTCTACTGTACATTTACAATGTGTCAGCTACGCACAGTCACCTATGTATTCATTTTTTCTTTAGCAAGCAATCAAGGATGAAGGCTTCTCACCGGAAGACTATGATTTATTCTTCACTGCAGGAAGAACCTGTATAGAGCAAGGCAACAGTGCTCAGGTTCTCAGCATCCTAGTTGATGAGAAGAACAAGGTGAGTTGAACAGTGTCTAGTGTGCTTTGTGACTCATGTATGAAGAGGCCAAATTCAGGAAGCTTTATCCTTGTTTTACTCAAGAGCATAGTGAGATGCATGGGCTGGAATCTGCTGGGGCCACTAGTACAGATCCTCTTGAAGAAGGAAGACAGAAACCTTCCACACTGCCATGCCATCCTGTCACATCTGCTGGAGGTTATTTGTGATTTGTTTTTAAACTGTGATGAGATATTTGGTTATGACCAGCATGCAGTTTCCATACTGCTTTCAAACATTCAGTGATGTTTTGTGAAACAGGTTTGCAGTCCTAAAGAGCTGCTGGTGGGTTTATTGGAGCAGGTGGAAGAGGCTGATACTGGCTCCATTGCTGAGACAGTTACTCTTCTCCTCAAGCCTTTACAAACAGGTTTCTCATCTCTTTGTCACTGAATCTTTAACACTGAAAGTAAATACATTGCTTTTTTTCTTAAACAAATGTTTTGTGGTGAGGTTTCTATTGTTGGTGTTTTAAGGAAAAATCCTTTTGGTGTGCTGCTGAAAGCCTAAACATTTCAGCTACTACATCTCTGAGATTTAATTTTGATATCTAATATTCTTGATATTAGAGATTTAGATTTGATCCTTTTAAAATTTTTAATCTACACTACTGCTAAAAATTGTGGGGTTGTATTTTTTATATTTTTGAAAGAAGTCTCTTATGCTCAAAAAGGCTGCATTTATTTTGATTAAGTAAAAAAAGAACAATTATAGATTTAAAACAGTAAAATTAGTAGTTAAGTATTGTGAGATATTATTATCACAATTTAAAATAACTGTTTTCTATTTTAATATGTTTGAAAATGTAATTTAGTCCCGTCATTTAGAAAAACCCTTACTGACCCCAAACATTAGAGGTAGTGTAGATAAACTCTCTAGATTTCACTAACTGACTACTCATTTGTTTGTCCAACTAGTCGACCATCCTGTCCATCCATACTAACTCTTCCATGTTACATTTTTATATATAAGTAATTGATTGAAAGATGCACTACCTCTCCTCCTTTCTAAGCCAAAGTGGTGTTTTTGATATCTGGAGCTCAAAACATTTGGAGGCTTTGTAGCAGAAATTACTGCAAAAACACTGAAAAATTAAACAAAAGAAAATGATGAACTTGTCTGCTTAATCTACTATTAGTTATTAAAAGAGAAATTAAAACAAAGCAAGGAATAAAATCATACCTTGCGCTCTGTAATATCATAGACTCTGTTCGTTTTGGTGGATATTTTAAACTGTTGAGTGGGTATCTGAAATGTAATAAACTCTTATGAGACAGTCAGAAACATAACTGATAATGCAAATTAAAAACGAGGGAAAGAAGTGATGTTTACTGTGTAATCCCTAAAAGGTTCTTACGTTAGTTAGTTTATTTGGACACCTAGGATATCCACACAGTTTAGCAATGCACCTTTCTTCCACTGTGTCTTTGTAGTTGGCAGGAGTGATGTGCCATGCCTATAGATAACAGTACATTCTCTTTGAAGCACAACAAACAACCGTTTAAATCTCCAGCTGAACTGTATAGAGGCCAATTACAGTACGTTATGTGACTTACACAGTCGATGAGGAACTCCTCTGTCACACTGTCCTCCAGCAGCCGCTCAACTACCTGCAGGGCTTTGCGCTCCAAATCTAGCTTCTGTCTGAGCGCCACTTTAATAGCTTCCCTCCTGCAAACATTACACTCCATGTAACCTGTATCACTTTAATAACGATATCAACTTATCATATAAAGTGTTACTCAAAAACAGTCCAACTAAAGTAAACAAACATACTTTCTCGCCTCATCCGCTGCTGAAATCACCTGGGTTCCTTTGCCCCCTAAAATTCAGGACAAATATTCTGTTAAAATATAAAAACAAAAACTTCGAGGAAAACTTCCATATACTACCTTTCTTCTTTGATTTCGAGGCTCGAATCTTTCCTGTCGCGTCCATCTTTTTCTTCTTCTTCTTTGGTGTTTTATTGGCGGTTGGCAAACCAGCTTATAGGTGCATTACCGCCACAGACTGGACTGGAGTGTGGATCAAGATTTATCTGTCGCGTCCATGCTTGTTTTCTCACAACAAAACTCCTTCCGGTTACGTCACATCACTACGGCAAGCAGCCAGCGACACGCTTTATTCTGCTGCAGTTTCTAAACATGCGGAGCTACATATTGAAAGTATAGCTGCAAGTGAGCGCGCTTTTGCAATTTGTATCTTGTTAAGTAGACGTATATCTCATTAACAAAATAAATCAGCAGCCATATATTTTTTTTTAATGTTGATGTTTGAATATTTATTGAAAGGATCCTAAACTAAATGACTCCTCTTTCCCCCCCATTGTCTCCTGACCTTCTCAGTGCTGCTGCGGCTGGGCATGAAGAAGGCCTCGTCTGTGGGCATGGCTCTCTCCACACTTCTTAGCCAGGTGGCCAGATTGCCGGTACCTGTCACCAAAGAGCAGGAGGAGGATGATGTTTTTGGTCTGTGTCACTGCTGCACTGCTCTTCTACAATTTGTCAAGCCCTTTGTTGAGGAGATCAAGGAGGTTGTCAAGGATAACAACAGAATATCCAAGGACAATGAGCTCAGAGTGGAACTACTCAAGTTGTAGGTGCCCAATTTGTTGTTTAGAATTATGTAGATTTAAAAAAAAAATTATTATGCAATATAGCATACAATTATAATATTGGCCATTTATTTCTTAATCATATTTTTTATCCAGCTGTATGAAGAGTTTAAGTAAGCCTCTACTGGAGGTGCATTTGAAAGATCCAGACACACTTCTGAAATCCCCTCTGAGAGACTTTGCTACAGAGATACTGGTATAATACTGCATGCGTGTTCTTAACTATTACATTCCTTTATTGCATTATTTATTGCACTTACACTACTGCTAAAATGTTTGGGATTTATTCAGCAAGGATACATTAAATTGTTTTAAAAAAGACTTTATAAATATACTGTTCACTTTTAATGCATCAAAGTATCCTGAAAAAATGTTTCCACAAAACTGTTAAGCAGCACAACTGTTTTCAACATTGATAATAAGAAGAAACATTTTTTGAGCTGTAAATTAGCATATTGATTGATTTCTGAAGGATCATGTGACACTGAAGACTGGAGTCTTCAGCTTTGCCATCACAAGAATAAATTGCAATTAAAAAATGTTAAAATATAAGAAGTTATTTTAAATTGTCATAATATTTCACAATATTTCCTAATATTGTATTTCTGCCAAATAAATTCTTCATTCTAAAAGACTTCTTTCAAAAGCATTTAAAAATCATACCGTAACCAAACTTTCGAACAATAGTGTAAGTTGCACTAATAAAATTGCATCAAGTAACAAAATGAAATTTAGAGGCATCTGCCAATGTATTTGAATATTACTGCCTTGATGTACATTTTCCTAATTTATCTCCATTATGTCTACAGATCATTTTGTCAAGTATTGGGGAGTCACTCCCTGATTTGTTAAGTCGTAATGTACTGAAGAGAAGGGAGGTCCCAGGTTTTCTTGAAGAGGAGGTAAGATACCCGAAGGAGTCACTGGCCTGCTTGTCCCACCTGCTTTTTGTGGATCATATAGCTGTGGACATCTTTCCAGCTGTTCTCAGGTGAAGAGTGAAGCTGTTCACCATGTTGATTTACATTTGTATTAAGAATGAACACAGCAAATGTTTTTGCTGACATTTTGTTTACATGTTTTTTCAGTCCGATTTTTGTTCTGCAATGCAACATGGAATATATTGAGCTGCTGTTAAGCAGGTAATTATGGAATTATGACAATAAATCTGATATTAAAATGAGAGTCTTCTGACAAACAAATTTTATCTGCATTCATAGAACTGAAGAATCCCGTCTGCAGAAAGGACTGGTATGAGTGTTCTTTACAACAACAAACCATACCACGTTGTATTTACGTTTTATACAGAGATTGATAGCAATAATTTATTATGTGCGGTTGTAATATTCCTTTAATTCTGTCATCATAGGAATTGTATGAAAAAAGTCTTATGAGAGTGGAAGATAACAGTCTACCAGTAGATCTTTTGGAGCTGAAGACATTTTTCAGTGTTCCACAGGTAAAATGTTAAAACTTATGGCATTTTAACAATAGTTTTGTGCGTCTTTTAGGTGTTCTAAGATGTTCTGTTTTCTCTTTAGAATTTGGTTAAAGTTATGACGCTGTGTCCAGATCAGACTTTGGTAAGTGAGAC